TACTCTCCAAAAAATGGGGTCATTTTCTGGGTCACCTTAATTTCCTGCCTACTGAACTGCTGAATGGGTGTTTAGGTTGAATTATCAATAGATAGCACCTTTACCAACAGTTAATAAAAGTAAATCAGAGGATTTTTCAAAATCATTAATATACACAGTAAATAGGAGTGGTCCTATGGATCCCTTAGGTATGCCAAATGAGATGTTACAATAGGAGGTGGTGGTATCATTCATCTTGACAAACTGTTTTCAATTACATAGGAAGCTCCTTAACCACCCCAGAAAAAAGTGACTAGGATCCTGTTGGGAATTCTGGCGCCATGACCGCCTGAAAATTGTCTGGTTCGGAGGGTAAACACACCATGTACAATTTTTTTCCTTGTAACTCAGTCAAAACCTGACTTAGTAATGCAGTCTGTTTCAGAGATCTGACACACTGTGAGTCTTGATTTGTTTTAGTTTGTTTTTATTTGCAACAACCGTGTGACAAGCTAAACAAGCTTGCAATTGGGATCCCACCTTAACTGGGATTCAACCTCAACTGGGATCCCACCTCAACTGGGATCCCAGTACAATCCCACCTGGAAATGGGATCCCACTGGGATGGCAGTATCCTGGTGGGACAGACGTATCCCACCGGGATCTCACTGGGATCCCACTTTCATCCCAGTCACTTCTTTTCTGGGGCACTCCAAGGCAATTCCCCTGATGCCATAATAATGTAATTTAAAAGAACTATGTCATGGTCTATGGTGTCAAAAGCCTTGGAGAGGTCTAGAAATATGCCAATAGTAGAAAATGGTAAGTTCATATCATTTGTGATCTTGTCCAGTAACTTAATTATGCCATGTGAAGTTGAATAATTCTCTCAAAATCTGAATTCATTATTTGAAATTACGTTATTTTTGTGTAAGAAATCCAGTGTATATTTATAAATCCCCCATTCCAGGACCTTTGAAAAGGACGCAAGGATAGGAATTTGTCTATGATAATTATTAACAAAAAGAGGGTTACCATTATTGAAGACTGGGGTCTCCCTTGCAATCTTTATATCCTTAGGGACTACACCAGTGGAGCCAGATAAATTGATGACAAATATCAGTGGTTGAGAGACAGCATAAATCACAGTTTTCAACAATGCAAGCCTACAATCAATTTGATCAACTCCTGCACTTTTTCATTTGGTAATTTACTAAGTATATCAGTGATCTCTCCTTCTGTAGCTGGTGAAAAAAGGTACTCTTTGGATTGGGATTGGTTAGATAATCAGACAAAGTATGGTTATTGGGAGAAATTAATAGCAGAGATTTTTACCAACAGTACAAAAGGAGTTATGAAAGTGATTTGCTATAAATTCTACATTATTAACAGACTTTCCTTCAGTTTCAATTGATGCAATTGTGGGCTGCTGGTTGGTTTTAACCACTTGCTGCCGGGTGGATTTTTCTTGAGCAAGACAAGATGCCGGGTCCTTTTCCACATTTTCCGTTTTCAAAATTTTTCAAAAATTCATCATTTCATTTAATGGCTGTTTATACCCACATGAAGGACTCTTTGGGCTACTCTAAAGCTGACAGGTAACCTTCATTGACTGAATATTTCAGCCAGGCCTGCACTGTAAAAACTTGGGTGTTAAAATCAACACTTTTGGGTGTTATCAGATGACCACACCATAGGGTGTTACTTTAACACTTATGATGTTACTTTGCAACCCTACAAGTGTTACAGTGCACTAGAAGGTGTTAAAGTAACACCAAATAACACCAAAATTTTAACACCAGTGAAAAATGTTGGTATAGTCTTCTGATAACACAGCGGTTGTTAAATTTAACACCCCAGTTTTTGCAGCCTTCAAGTTGGAAAAAGAGCCCAGATTGTGCAGCGTTACGTAAGATTATTTTGTTCCCGAAACCGGCACAGTGCACTGCTGACGTCTTTTCAATAGGGGCCAGATTAGCTTGCAGCGGTGCTGTGTGGCTCATCGCTACGGTGGTGGAGAGCTTTTGTCCCTGGTGGTAATCTGCTCGCTCTAAATGCTTCAAACTGTGGTATGCTGTTTCAAAGCAAGGCTGGATTATCTCCACTATTGAGAACGAAAAATGTCGGTTATGCCCAGCAGCTCAGTGTTTTGTGCTGAGCACGGTCTTTTGTTATAAGGCCAAACTCTTTGGTTCTAGTTCTGGGCTCCCCGGCTCTGCATAAAAAGCCTATGTACATGTACTCAAAAATGGGTCGCCCGGAAGAAAGTGGTTAAGTAAGTTTTTTTAATATTAGCCTTTTATTTATTAAATTGGTTAGCATAGTAATTTTGTTTCGCATTACAAAGCACATTAGTCAAAATATTTTTATAATGTACATATTTAGAATGGTTTAGGGCAGTGGGGTTAGAGTTACAGTATATCTATGATAAAGCCTTTATTTGTGAGAGACGGATTTACATGTACATATGCTGATGGTGACCCAGGGTAGTTTAGCAATAAGTTTGCATTGATTTACCTTTTTTTATCTTAAATGGAACATATTTGTTAAGATTCCCATTAAAATATTCATGAAGTTAATGAAAGCCAAGTTGGCATCCTGTGCATTAAATCATTGTGTGCCTGGAAGAAGGTCGTAAGCACTTACAACCTTTTGCCCGGAAGCATAATTGTTGCAAAAAAAAATTTCCAGGCAAAAGGACATATGTATGCAACTATTTTATTTTAACAAAATATACAGATTTTTTTTGCAAATAGTTACAAATAAAATTACCAAGTCATTTGATAAGTTGTTCAGAGGTTGCTTTTTGCACAGCCTTTATTCATTTTGTGGTACATTTTATCCATTTTTACTAAATAAAGAGAGTGTATTACTTACAACCTTTTTTCTACTGTGATCATGCTTCCAGGCAAAAGGGCGTAAGCGCACTTACGACCTTTTCCGGGTACACAATGAAATACAGAACTGGAATCACTAGAATCTAGTCCTTCTTTAAATTCTAGATTTTAAAGAGAATATTCTCTGACAAATTTATTACCAGGTGTTATGGTGTTTTTGTAAAATGTAAATTAAGTAAATATGGGAAAATGATCAGATAAATCTGATAGTACAATTGCTGACTTTGGAGCTGGTAATATGTTTGATAGAATATTGTCTGTTAAAGTGGCTGAAGTGTTGGTGACTCTAGTAGGTTGATTAAAGGTATGCAAAAAGAAGAATATGCAACATCTACAAATACCTGAGGTTTGCTACAGTCATTAGAGCTGAGCACATTTATACTAAAGTCACAAGCAACAAAAATGGTTTTTGTTTCTTTTGATAATTGATAGAATAAAGTTTGAAAGAAAACAAGATCATTTAAAAAAAAATATCTGGTGCCTTACATGCTAGTGTTGGGTGATTCCAATGTTTTTGGAATAGATTCAGATTCCGTCCAGGAATCGCGATTCCACTCAGACTCCATTCCAATTTTTACATACTTGTGCGAATGCCATGTTGACCATGCCTGAGATTACATGCACATTGCACTTGTAAGTTGTTTCTCAAACACTCCAAAACGTCATTAAAAATCATACCTTTTTATTGCATCCGAAACATGAAAGATTTATCATCATTACAGATTTTTAAATTGGAAATTTCAACTAAATGGAAGCTCACCATTTATGGGAGATTATCAATCTACACAGCCCGCCAGCTTTCAA